AATAAATTTGTATTTATATAATTTAAAATATAATATTACCATATTTCTCCAACACAAGGCAATTCATAACAATTAATATCTATTTTTAAAAGAAATCAATAGTATGTATCTATGAACATGTACGATAATTTTGCAAGTAGGAAGTAAAGTAAGTAGACGGTAGATGTGGTGTGTATACTGTTTATTTATTGGAAAAATTATAAATTTTATAAAATTATTTTAACTTTAATAAATTTATGCAAAAAAAAATATGAGCAATCATTTTAAAACAATTTTGCGAATCCCAACATGTAATATATGAATTTGTGTACATATACATACATACTTGTATGAAAACAGCAGTGTAGCAATTAATTAATTAATTAACGTTTGTTAATCTTCTGAATCATATTAAACACGAAAAGTATAAAAAAATATATTCTCAAAAAGTTAGAATTAAACCTCTAATATATAGTTTTTTTTTTAGATAATTGTGGTTAGTTATTACAAGTACCCAACAAGTAGTATTGGAGATTAGCTCGAAGGAGATAATATTATTTTTTTGTTTTCATTCAACATTTATTAAATTAAGATAACACTATTAGGCTATGACGATTAAAATTAATACACATTTTTATCAAATAAATTAAATTAATGGAATACAAATTAGCATGTGTTTGAATTAAATAAATTAACCATAAAATGAAAAATGCAGTTTCATCTAATCTATTGTGACATGTTATTTAACGGAAATCCTCCAAGTTTGTATTTTGTAAAATATTGTTGGCTAATTTGTAAGAAATTTCAATTTGATTCTGAAGATAAAGCGTTGCGATAGATAATATCGGGTCCATAGATAATAAACTTAATATACATTTGTTTTTTAAGTCTTTAAAATTATAATGAATTTTAAATTGGACTAAAATATAAATAAACTTTATGCATCTAATAATTCTCTTTCCTGTTGTATTATCATCCATTATATTATATGTTAATTATTATTATCATTACTTTTAAAAAATACGATTCACCTTCATCGAGCATAAATAAAGCAATAACATAAATTCCAAAGAAAATTAGAGAATAATACAATAGATTATATTCATGTATCCAATGCGAGGGATTTAGTATGATAAAATTTTAAAAAAAATCGTGCTTGAATGTGCTCTAATAAATATTCTAAATATTGAATTCTGTTGTAAAATAATATTATTAATAAACTAAAATTGTAGTTATTTAAATTTTATTATTTTTCTAATTTTCTAAATATTGTAAGTTAAAATACAATCAACATAATATAATCATAAAGCAACTGTACAACTACAAAACTTCAAAGGGACAATGTAAATAAATTTAAGTAGGCAGGCAAATGAAAAGAAAAACGATCAATTTGTTCAGGAAAATAATTAAGAAAGCAGTACCTAGGATTCAGTTAATCAATATTGAACGAGTTGATGCATTCAACGAGCATTTTTTGCGCAATAAAAAAAGTGATTGTCATGCCGATGCCGAATAAGAAAAAAATGAAAAAGAAGTTCTCCTATAGGTGCTGACAAACTCGTTGCTAACTTCCTTAATATGCAGACGTTGTTGCACTCAACACAGGACTCGACGTGCATTAAAGGCCCATACGAAAAAACTTGCCTTATAATATCTATCACGACAAACTTTGTGAACGTGAAACTTTTTAGATCAATAATTTTTTTTATTGATAAACATTAAATAATATGCGTTTTTACTTAATCGATGTTAATTAACGACTTGTTGAAATCTCTGGTACATTTTCAATAATTTTTATAAAAATTGATTCCAATGCATTTATCAGCTTAATACGATCGATTCGCCAATTAATAAAATTTAATAATAAATTTAAATGTCAAATATAGAATAAAAAATATATAATTTTCATACATTATTACCATAACACTCTTTTCGTAGTCTAATCATTTGATAACTAAATTTTCCAATAAATTTTTGTGCAATAAAATTAAATACATTGTTGAATGATTTTTTGAAGTAATTTGAAGTAAGCCTCTACTTATAAATAATGGAAATCAGATATTTAGTATAAAATACCCGGGATTTTTTTTAAATATCGATATTATGTCTAAAATTGGCCAATTTACAGTTAAATGATAATAAGCCCGTGAGCGTTGAATTGAAGTTTAGTCTTAAAAAATCCGTCAATAAGTTTACACCGATTATTGTCTTTGTAGCATATTTTGTATTATTATTGAATAAACCGTTTTCATTTATACTAAAATTACATATAACATTTTTTTTTTTTTTTTTTTTTTTTTTAACAATTTATTATATAAAGAATGAGATGAAAATAAGTGCACATTTTTATGTATGTACGTATGCGCTTGTACGTATGTATGTACATACGTAAGTATGCGCAGCCATACATACGTACATACGTACATTCGTACATACCTACATATACACATACATACGTACATACATACATACATACATACATACATACATACATGCATGCATACATAGTTCAATATATATATATATATATATATATATATATTATAATCATCCATCAGTAATATTTTATTTATAATGGATGAGCCTAAATACATTAGATAAATACACGCTAGAGATAACAAGAAATACATAAGGCGCGTGGATTATTATGTTTTAAACGTTTATATGTGCATTAGTAATATGCATTTTTGACTACTTATAATACATTTATCAATGACGTAATTGTTGGATTAGTTCAAAGGCATTTGCTTACGAGGCTAGTGATTGTGCATGAATTCACATTAATAAATATTGTTATATTTCTCAATGATATTTCGTATAAGTGCATTTCAACGAGCCTCGCAGGGCATTGCTTTCAACTATAACACAAAAAATCGATGCAACATTTAATTTTACAATTAACAGGATATCACTCCGGGATCAAAGACTCGATGACAAGTCCATCGCATCAAATAATATGTTGATAGATACGAGCATTTTATTTTCATGTTTCTATTTTTTATTCGTTTTTTTTTTTGTTTTTTTTTTTTTATATTTGTTTCATACTATATATATATATATATACTCAATCGAATAGTTTTATTACTAGCATATTAAATTTTTTTTTCGTATAACAAAATATAAAATTAGCCTCGCATGAATCTGATTTAATAAATTTCACTTCACTTTTAAATATTTTTACCTATAATTTTGTATTAATGTACGTACGGAGATATATATATATATTTTTTTTACCTGCACGTCAAGCATGCGTACATATAATTAAATAAAAATAATAAATTAAATTATTGTAAAACCTTCATTTACTTCACTACGGCCTTCGATATATATATATGTATATATATATATATATATATATGCATAGAAAACGAGTAAATAATTATAATAAGAAGAAAAACTTTATATAACTTTATACTGCGTAACTACACGTTACATACTTTTTCTTTCTATTTCGAATAGTTGGTATAAATATTACTTAAATGCATAAAATTTATTCATTTAACAGATGCACCTATCCAATGAATAATTATTAACCTCGAATAATCTAGCATATATACAATTTATGTAACATTTAATGATTGGTGTATAAAATAGTATGTTTTTTTTTAGCCGATAAGAAACAAAATTCAAAATAAAATACCTTTGCTTGCCAGCAAGTCAAAGATCCAGAAGATTATTACAATTCGCACGATACGATAACAATAAGCTACGTTATTATTACACATTTTATACAATAGATTCATCTAGATGCAAGCATAATACTATTTTTTTTTTTTTTTTTGTTTGTTTTGTAGATTACTTTAATTAACAAAGAACCTTACGATGTTCTATATGTTTTAAAGGTAACAAGTGGTAAAATTAAACTAGTCATATTATTGTCAACGCGCATACGTATCGATCACATAAGAATTTTTAATAATAAAATAAATAATTTAACGTTTATGAATGCTACTAGGATGCTTATCAAGTTTGTAATTTACCTTTGAAATGAGCTGCTGCTATTGTTTTTATTTCATTCATGTATTTTATATGTAACAATTCGCATAAAATTTCCTTCCAATAAAATTAAAACGCTTTAAAATACAAAATTTGAAATACTTAAATACGTGTATGTGCATAGTGCAAATAATATTAAAAAAATTTAATTAATGTAATTAAAAATATAATCTTTTGATACGGACATCATAGTGTTTTCCTATATCAAATAATCTTTTCGACAACAATTTTAAAATGATTAATTAATCATAGAAGCAGGATTTTTAATTAAAAATTCATCTTTTAGATTTCTTAGAAACATATCATTCATTGTACTTTGGAAAGTAATATTTTCAACTTTTCAGTGCTTTTAATTTAAAAGTAGTAAAATGTTTAAAAAAAAAAAAAAAAAAAAAAAAAAAAAAAAAAAAATGTAACGAAATTATTAAAAAATTATCTAGAATTATATTTAATTTAAATTTTTTCAACTTAATAATTTTAACAGCTACTCGATTCAAAAACATATCTCTCTAGGTCTAAAAAAGATAATTGTATTTACGATTTACACAGGGAAATGTACAGTTGTATAGAAAATATAGAATGACTGTCATAGCCAACAGAGGTTAGTTAGCTTAAAAATACGCTTCCTTTTTAATCTTAAAAAGTCAACTTTTTAAACAATGTATGCCATTCATATTCACAATTTTTCGTTTATAAATGCTGAGTTGCAAAAAATTTTTTTCACAATTTTACTTAAAGTTTTTATATTAAAACTATAGATTTTTTTTATAAAAAAATTTATTGCATGAACGAACAATCATTGGGAAATTTTTGTGAGATTTGCAAATGCAATTTTTTTATGTTAAAAAAACGCTTTTCATCTTTGCACTTCGAGATACAATAATATTTGATATCTTACAAAATCTAATGAAACGATAGTTTAAAAGTACTACATTATACACACACGCACACACACACACATATATATATATATTTTTTTTTTTTCAATTAACAGAAGCAAAAATAGCATATTAATTTCATATTTTACGATGGAATAAAATATGCAATTCTTTCATCGTAAATAAATTAATGGCTATTTGATATTACTAATAGGATTAAGTAATTTCGCGTATAAACATTTCTTAAGTATTTCGTAAGACATTTCTTCATTATTTTCTGCAAAGCGATTTTTAAGATTTAAAAGTTCACGTATATTATAGCGTACAACTGGTTAATTATTATTTAATTACACGCTTAGACCTGGGCCGGTATTTGGTTATTACTTTCTTTTTTTCAGACTACTCAGCACAATCGAAGTGTATTAATGCTGATTATACTTTTTGTTTGTATTTCTTCTTCTTCTTTTTTTTTTGTTTTCATGTATTGCTACAGGTAAGTACAGCTATATATCAGTGTCCTTGCATATGATAAATTTTTAATTTACGTTATTAATATTTAGTTTATGTTTATCATCGACCGATGCTAATGAGATTGACATATCAATATAATTTTCTAATGCCACTTGGTTATATCGTAGATTTTGTAATAGACTTTAATTGTTTTTATCAACGAGAAGATGTTAAAATCATAATTATTTTATATGAATGAACGATATATCAATTTGTATTTTTATCGACTCTTATTTATCCTGTATTTTCAGCCTTAGAACGGATCAATTTTTAA